TTGGCATTGGTGACAGGAGGTGGTACTGGACTTGGAAAAGCGATCGCCACGATGTTTGCCGGATTGGGTGCGCAGGTCGCCATTGCTGCCAGGTACTCGCTCAACTTTTTAAAAACCACTTTTTTGTTAACTGCCGCTCCGTAGTGCTGGAGACATATTCCGCGATAGTCTGAGAGGCGTAGACTCGTAATCATATTATCTCCCTCACTGGCTTCTCCTCTTCTTCTCTTCACCGTCTCAGAAAGAGAGAGCATCAGTGGGGACAACACAGTACATTCCTGCCCATATTTCTGCCTATCAAGTTATCGCGAAATGTGTCTTTAGGCTCCATACTTGGCTATCGTACTGTATCTGATATTGTTAGAAACATACAAAAAGGGCGCAGTTCGGCTTGATGGGGTCATTTTGCTTGTTTTCATAGCAGAGAGGTCTATTTACACTTGACTAGAGTTTACAGGTTTCACCAGATTGAGAGGAGTAATTTAAAAGGAACAAGCTAGCGCAAGGAACTAGCAAAAGAGCAAAATGTCTCCTCCCAAGCAGAACAGCGCTCAAAAATGGTTAGCCACCCCTCGCTTACCACATGCTTCTTTGTATGATCATTCAAGTGCCCTAATGTTACTACAGACCGGTGAGTTACAGTGTCAGGTGGTTTCCAGCGCCTGGGATTTGCGTATATATGAGGTGGTAATTTCCTTTTAAAAAGCTGGGTAACAAAGGGATTCTCCTTTTGAGTGAAAGGTTAAAAACCTTGATCCAAACGTGCCACCATCGCAATAACGGGCCAAACTGATAGTATTTCTTGAGCAAAAATGCACCACCTCTAACTCAGCTGAGCATTTAAGCAAGCGCTACAGGGAGACGGGCAAGAGAATCGTGATTTGCCGCTCCGCCGCGCGCGGCGATCGGCGGCCATTTCCTTAACCTCGTGTAACCTGTCAATAGAGTACCTTGCTTCATGTAGACCCCGTCATCATAAACATCCATGACTATTTTCGGTTCTAAATTGCCTGTTGTCATCTACGACCTGGAACCACACCGTCATTTGCGGGCGCGACGTCGCATGCGACGCTTATCAGAGCGGCGAATTACGATTCTCTTGTCACATACCCAGCGCTACACTGTTAGCCGCCATGATGTCACGTCCGCTATGGTGAAGTATGTCATTTGCAGGCGAATGGACGTGCTGTCAGCGACGGCGGCAGAAATCCAAACCAAAACTGGTGGAGTATGTGAAGCTTTTCGTATGGATGTAAAGGATCCTGTACTGGTCACGAAAACGCTCGATGACATCGTTCGAGAGGTATTGATAAGCAGCCTCATTTCTTCGTAACCCGTGCTTAAAGCAGACAAGTGAAGACCTATGGGTCTTTCGGGGTGATCTTCTGGCGCTTATAGAGGTGACTGTTTAATGAATAGACTTTGAATGAAGATTATCTATTCAGATTCGGGAAACCGCCGACCATTTTGGTGAACAACGCTGCCGGCAACTTCATCATGGCTACCGAACGGGTATGACCACACATATTTATTTATTTTGGCACTATTTACCCTTTACTGCCCCAACCATCCAGAATTGAGAGTTTTGACCGACTTTTTTCTCCGTGGACAGATTTGGCTCAAATGTTGTCTCCTGGGGTAGTTTGACCTCCTGAATACGAATATCACATTCGCTCAGCCCGAAACTTCCTGGCGCCCGCGCCACAGGCGCCGGTGATTTGGGGTATTTTGGCGCCAGCGCCTGTAGCGCGGGCGCCAGGAGGTTTCAGGCTGAGCGGATGTGATATTCGTGTTCAGGAGGTCAGACTACCCCTGAGAACAAGTTTTCAGCGAATTTGGTGATTTAGGTATTTTGGCGCCGGCGCCCGTGGCGCGGGCGCGGGAGGAGGAGGAGGTCAAATTATTTGAGGCCAATTCTGCCACCGCAGGAAAAAAGTCGTCAATAAACGGCGTGGTCAAAAAACCGGGCTGTTTTTTGGAAGACTGGGGTAAAGTGTAAATAAAGCCTTTATCTTTTTCCGTTCAATCTATTAACACATATGAATAGCGGGCGCTGTTCGGCTAGGGGGAAGGCGGTGTACGGGGGGGGGGGCATTTGCGCACAATTGCTGGTTTCCTATGCTAGTCTTTATAAATACACTTTTCATCTTGGGGAGACTACTGAAAACCAGTGAAAACCAGTGATGGGAACCAGCGAAATGCCCCAACCAACCCGAACTGTGCCCTATGTCGCTTCGATTATACCCTCAAAAGTGGCCTATTTAATTGTGCCATTCTTCATCTGCAGCCCATATATGCCCACCAGCCATCGTACCCACTGCTTTCAAATAGTAGACGACTTGTAATGAAAACCAGTCAAGCCGTTTCCTGTGGGAAATCGCCTCCATTTTCGTACAATAGACTCGAGACGCCTTATACAACCTATTTCAACGGTTTTGTTTTAGTTATCTCCAAATGCAATCAAGACAGTGGTGGACATCGTTCTTCTTGGCACAATGAATGTCACCAGCGAAGTTTGTCGTCGTGCCATGAAGGCCAAGCAGGGTTGTACTGTCCTCAGCATCACCACACCTTACGCAAGGTACCATTTTTTTTTCACAGAGTAAAGTTAGAGATTGGAAAAT